TGTGTCTGCGTAAAGCAGCCTATCACGGAGCTGCTGCCAGGTGATCGACGGTGATGATGATGAAGGTGGAGCGGCAGCTGACAAACAGCTGACAAACAGCTGACAAACAGGAATTCAGGATTTCCAGTGAAACATGGTCTCTGATTCCATCTGGTACCGATTAACAAAGAAATACCGAAATGAAAATGAAATCTCTTCGACACGAGACGACTGCGTCAGCAGCAGCTCGGAGAAACGTTGACGAATCTGCAGCACGAGTTTAAAAGTTTTCTTTAACGAAGCGATAACAGGCGTGTGTGAACAGCACGAGGATTAAACCTGATTTAAAGCCGCGAGGAAAGCACCTTCAGCTCACTTAAGCCTTTATCAGGCTCCCACGGGCACCGTGCGAGGTGCACTTCACAGCAGCGCTCGGCGCTCCAACATCACTGCGGTGCGAAACGTTGCCGTGTGCGATGACCCGCTGCGACTCGGGATTATTCTAAAGCACAGAATAAAAGCTCTGTGTACATCAGCTGAGAGCGGGCGGCGTTTTCCCTCCACAGGTGAGAGATTGAGGTCCTTTGTTCTTTGATGCCGGTGCCGAACAAACACACGTCTGACCCTGCTTCAAAGAAAAGCTGCAGATGGAAAAAACAAACAGGGAATTTGAATAATTATCTTCCTTTTAGCTGCGTTTGAGACACAAACTGAAGAGCCGCTGTGTCCTTTATCTTTGAAGGGGTTTAGAAACAGACATCGTGTCACACGTGTGCTGCTTTTATTACTGCGAAATATTCACAAGACTGTCCAAAGGAGCTGCAGAGGAAAACTCAGAGAGTGTAAACGTCCTCGGTGCTGAGCGCATCACTCCAGCGCACAGCCTCGATCAACACCAGTTTAACCACAGTGTCCAGTTTAAAAGAGAGCCTGTCAGCTCGAGGCTGCGGCGTTCGCAGGTGGCGGCGTGCCGCTCTGCTCTGATGAAGGCAGAGCCAAGCATCAAGGTTTCATTTCAAAAACCAGACGTGGGCGGGGCCCAGCAAACAGCACTGAGGCTCAGCTTCTGACCTGGAAGCCTCCGGTGACTCTGCGGAGACGTCTGGACTGGCAAGGTGTGATTGGCTGGAGCAGGGAGTTGTGGGAGTGTCTGCTTGGACTGCTGGTTGACATGGTTGTGCAGGACAACAAAACCTGGCTGTGAGGCCTCATATTTGAGACTTTTTAAAGGCGCCCTGATAAAAATCATAGCTCTGTAAACCTGCTGAGGCTGTCACCAGGATGAAGGTGACCCCTCCCTCCTGCTAACAGGTGTGCTCACCTGCGCTCTGTCAGCTGCAGCTGCAGTGGACAGTTTAATGCGGGTCCTGACACTGTTTCAGAGTCCCACAGAGGGAAAGATTAGCTTTTTAAAATCATTAAAAGGAAGGACACCACAGGACACAGACAATATTTCTCCCCTTGTTCGTCTCCTCCCGCCTCCCCTCCTCCCTCCTGACATCTGCTGTTAATCCTCTCCAGGCCACAGACCCCGTTTCATCCCATTCCCAGCCTCAATTGAGATTAATTCAATTTATCACTTGTAATTTCTTCTAGCCGCCAGTAAACGGCTCGTGTATTAGCCCGGGCTCCTCAGAGGGCCAAATTGATTCTGCATGCTGAGCGATGCTTTGTGCATTCAGGATACCAACACATGTCGACCGAAGGGGAGGAGGAGGAGGAGGGGAAGGAGGTCTTCCTCATAGCTGTGTGTGTGAGACACTGAAGGAGTTTGGTCACCTGCAGCCACATCTGGGGGTTTAAACAGGAAGTGGTGCTGCGTTTCACCGAGACCCTCCTTAGTGACCACTTCAGTGTGAGGACAGCAAGGTCCAGGAGGAGCGAGGTCCAGGAGGTCCAGGAGGAGCGAGGTCCAGGAGGAGCGAGGTCCAGGAGGAGCGAGGTCCAGGAGGAGCGAGGTCCAGGAGGAGCGAGTTCCAGGAGGTCCAGGAGGAGTGAGGTCCAGGAGGAGTGAGGTCCAGGAGGAGCGAGGTCCAGGAGGAGCGAGGTCCAGGAGGTCCAGGAGGAGCGAGGTCCAGGAGGAGCTGCAGACACTCCTCACAGTACAGCCAGGTTGGAGACGCCTCTCTGATCAGCTGCAGCTCAGCGCTCTGATGTCATGGAGCAGTGGGAGGAGACACCGGCAACGTGACCTCGGATCCCCCAGACAGCGCAGGTACTGCAGGGGGTCAGGGGTCACCCAGGGGACCTCCACAGCACAGGGAGGGGCTTTTAATGTTGGACGTTACCATGGTAACAGCACAAGTATTTGAATAAGTGCACGTGTCCTCGTGTGACTGCGCGCTCCATGAGCCTGTCACTGCTGAGCACGTCAATTTCCCCATTGAAGCATTTTCTATTCTATTCTATCGTACACACATGAACTTCACGTGAAAGCATGTATTTATGTTTCATGCTGATATTTGCTGCTCTGTCTTCGCCCTTCAGAGTCTGCGGATCAGAAAAGTCAGATTTCTATGAGCAGCAAAGGCGTCTCCGAGGAAACGTCTCCACATGAAGAAGGTGACCTGGAGCCGGTGGCGGCGGCAGGACCGGCGGCGGTGACTCTGAGCTCGGTCTTTCATGTCTCAGCAGGGAGCACAGGTCCTGCTGGCTGCTGAGGCTGATCTGTGGGAGAGGAATCCCTCGCAGGCCTCCTCCTCCTCCTCGCTGATGGGCAGCAGACTCTGAGCTCCTGATGATCACGCTGACATTTAAACGTGTGTCGGAGCTTCTACTGCTGTCCTGCCGGCTGCTGAGGTTTCCTCCACTCGAACATCCACCCGACCAGCTCCTCCCATCACGGGTCACATTCAGCTTTCTGGTTATTCACTCATTTTTGGCCCTGTTCCATTTTTAACTTGATTTTGTTTGTAATGGTTGTGTTCACTTAGAGACGGTTTCACCTTCAAAGAACAGAAACGTGACCAACATGAGCGGAAACATGCGTGCGTTGTTAGGGGCGTGGCCTCTTTGTCCTTTGTATCTGTCCATCACAGTCGGGGTCTAGGCTGGAAGTCTCCTCCTCTTGAAGGCGACTCTTGCAGCTTTTAGCCAACCCTGGTACAAATCTGACCGGCATCAGACCGGCGACCTGTCCAGGTGTGCCCCGCCTCTCACCCTATGGCCGCTGGCATAGGCTGAGGCTGACCTGGATAAGTGGAAAATAGATGATGGATGGAGCAAATCTAAAAAAATCCACGGCCAAAAGTCTGAGTAACTAAATGAGCCGAGCGTATCAGTAATATGTCGCCTTCACAGCGTTGCAAACACGAGGACGGAGGAATAGCAGCTCCTGCTCTGCCACATCGGGCTGTGCAGCTGAATAATTTAGTGTTGTGAAGAAGCAGAGACGTGGCCCTGAATGCAGAAGAAGAGCGACTCGCTGGCTGTCCAGATCACGAGAAGTGCGACGAGCGAGTCACATATCAGAGCGTCTCCAGCGCCCGCAGTTTTGGCTCGCCGTAGCGTGGAATAAAGAGAGAGAGGCTCCAGACCGGACTTCACTGAGGCGATCGTGGTTACTCAGCCTAACTGTGACATGTTTCAGATCCAAACCTCCATCCGTCCAGGTCTCAGTAACTACACCTGACCGAGCGCTCTGACCCTGAGTATTTAATCTCAGCAGTATTTAGTGTCTGCTCTGTGCTTCTTAACGTCTCTCCGTCCTGATCCAGACTTTCACAGGAGCAGACACTCCAGGTAAAACCCATCATCACCAAAAACACCAGAGACGTTCAAAGGCTGAGGCAGCACACAGACCCCCTGAAGCAGGAAGTCTCAAACATCGTGGGTGGAGCAGAGAGTCCACGCCGCTGCTCCCTCTCTTTGTTTCGCAGTACCCTCTGCTTCGTCGAGCTGCGGCTGGCTGACTCAGCCTAATAAATTTGTAAACCTCTCACAGCATCAGATAATCTCCTCTGCCTGACCCAGCCTCCAATTAGCCCGTGTTCAGGGCCAGATGTGGTGTAAACGCGCTCGCTAATCCTGCTGGCGGTCCCAGCTGAGTCAGACGGAAACCACCCGC